GCAGCCCTGCCCCCAACACCACAAATGTGGCTTTCACTATTTCAGTTTGTAGGGCAGATAAACCTGTTGTGAGAAACAGAATTAAATTAGGTCTGCTTGCTAACTTTTTTTTTTTTCAGAGCTTCTTTGAAGGTCAGTCAGCATCTTGGGATGTAGCTAAAAAAGATCAAAACCGAGCAAAAAACCGATATGGAAACATTATTGCATGTAAGTTCCCTAAGAATTCCTGGTACATGTAAACACTGCATGTGTAAAATGTACAGTGACTCACAGCTTTATGGTTTTGAGGTTAGGGAACCCAAGTGGTGCACACTGGTCTGTTAACTGGTCTATAGGATATTAAAAGTAATCTTAGCTGACTCTGAAATTGCCATCACCCTCACCAAATTCAATCTCACCCTTTGAGAAATTTGTTGTTTTAAGTTTTTTTTTATAAATCCATGGGGATTGTTATCAAATGTCTAAGAATATTGATATTGGGGAAATGCCAAACTTCTTTTTCACTTTTGGACTGATGTAACACTCATGTTGGGCCTAGTCGAGGTTCCTGAAGGTATTTCTTCCACGTGCCCTTCTGTCTTGACCCCCAGTAACCGCGAGTCATTAATCGCTCAGAATTTCCTTTCAGATGATGTCTTCATGAGGAGGACATGCAAAAAGCCAAGTCATCACTAGGGGCAACCTTGGGAGTACTGAGGAGAGCAGATGGTCTGACTTTTAATTATCTGCTGTTTTCCTTAAGCCAGTCTACTCTGGTTTGAAATCATTTTAAACTATGTAAAATACATTCAGACGTAGCCTGTCTTTCAAGGAATAAAGGAGAAATAGATTCAGAATTCACAGTCTAGTTATGTGGCTCATTCTGCCGTAAAATCCAGAGGGAAAGGAATTCCTCCAGCTAAAAAGCATTCCTGAGAAACAAAATTAGAAGCCACGCAAGTCCTGTAGTCAAGTCCAAATCTCAAATGAAGAGCCATCCAGACCATACTATGCTGCCTACAAGCTTCCTAATCTGAAAGGCAAGCCATTGAATGTCTGTTCATAGTTGTAACTGGTGTAAGTAGTGAGCCCCATATAGTTCTGGCTTTTCTCCCAAAGGACTGATTTGACAATAATGCAGAGTATTGCAAGTGTGGATTATACAGACCAAATTTGTCCTTAAGTCTTTACCACTGACATTGTCTCAAACCAGAGGAATTTGAACAGCTTGCATTTGATTATTTAAACCTTTCAGATGATCACTCCAGAGTCATTCTGCAACCCGTGGAGGACGACCCCTCTTCAGATTACATTAATGCCAACTACATCGATGTAAGTGTCCTTCCAGGGTGTTTCCCTAGGGCGCCCACTATATCAGCTCCCGTCTGGGAGCTTGATGCCTGTTATTACCTGTGACTTTAATGCTAGCTGTAAAGTAAAGAACAAACTGTACACTTTTCCTTGTTCTACATCCTAGTACTTACTGACGCTGTTGTGCTTTCTTTCACACCTGACTTTGGTTTGGGCTGTAGATTTGGCTGTACAGGGATGTAAGTACCACTATATGTACATAACAGCACCCTATGATAAATATTTACTATAAATACCCTTAATCACAGTTACTACTAATGCTTAGTCTAGTTGTTTCTGCATGCATCACCTAATTAGTCTCATACAGTATATTTGTGTTTCTTTTTTTTTTTTTTTGTAATTATTTTACGTTGTGTAAAGAGCTATTCGACCTCCTTCCCCTTTCTTGTGTAGCAAAACAGGGCTATTTCTGGCTTCGACAATTTATTATGCATTTGAATTTTATTTGTTGATGATTTCTGTCTCTGGCTTTTATTCTTACCTTTCCCAAGCATATGTGAGAAGCTGGATAGTATGATGTGTATTAGTGGTTTTGAAATTTCACCTTTTATATTGATTTTTGATACTAAAAGATAAGAATGGGGCCAGGGATGTGACTCAGTTGGTAAAATGCTTGCTGAGCACGCAGGAAGCCCTGAGTTCAGTCCCAAATACTGCATTAACCAGGCTCGGTGGCTCATGCCTGTAATCCCAGCACTTGGGAGATGGAGGCAGAAGGATTAGAAGTGCAAAGGCATCCTAAAAGACATAGTGAATTCAAGGCCAGTTTGGGCTAAATAAGACCCTATCGCAAAATTATAAATAAATAAAATAGTAGGAAGACTATTTTGTGGTGTGTGATATTGGTTTGTAAAGTAAAAATTCTTAGGGCAAATATGATTTCTATATTATATTTGAAACATATGTATCACACATATATATATCGAATCATACCACTAAAGTCTGCTTTCATTACATATTGCACTGTTAAATTTGGTTATACATATAGACAGGGAAATTTTTTAGGTAAGTGACAGTAATTATCAAATAAAATAAAACTTAGTGCCAAGAAGAAATACATTGTATTATATGTAAGATCTGGCTTTTTGACTCTATTACCTGGTTTAAAATTACACTAGAGGGTCTAGAGAGATGGGGCCATCAGCATTTAAAAACATTTGCTCTTATTGCAGATGACCCAGCCATGGTTCCCAGCACCCACGTGGAGTTCACAACGATCGGTGGCTCCAGTTCAGGATTATCTTATACCCTCTTTGGGCCTTGTTGAATACCAAGACTTTCATGGTGTATGTACATTCATTCAGGCAAACACTCACATAAATACAATAAAATAAACATGAATAATAAAATCATGGAGGTCTTGGGGATATGATTTGCTTCAGTTTCCTCATCTGCATATTGAGATCCTGATAGTTTGAGGCTTATCAGTTTGCTGTGGAAACGTAACAAAGTAATGCAGATAGCGCCTCTATTGCAGTGACTAACATGCATTTAGCACTTGCTGGATTTCAGCTATTAATAATTAAAAACCCAAGCTCTGAATGAATTGAATCATAGCATGCTTATTTTAAGTCAGTGTATAATATAGTACTGCAGCATGTACATACTATCAGTGTTCATATAAAGATGTCATGTAAACCCCACCTCGTCTAAATTCTACAAATAGGATTATTTGCCACCCTTACGAACTTCATGTTTTATAGATATTTCAGCAATTATAGCCAATCAATTTCATGTATTAAGAATAGTCTATAAGTGTATTGGTTAATTTTTTCATCATAATTTTATTTTCATAACGTTTTTAAGTTTTGTCAAACATGTTCTCTAGATTAAAAGACATCAACATTTCTCTTACAACTTTGTCATTGTTCTTAGCTATTTAGTTCAGCCTGGGTCTTCTGCCATGATGGAGATACATGAGATCCTTGCCATAGTACTATTTTATGGTTCATTGGGTAGGACTTTATTCTAAATGAGATTTGTAATACAACTCTGTTAAGATCCCAGTATATTTTGGCTAAACACAGTGCGATCTTATAATTTCCCTTTCTTGTTTGTTTGTTATACACAAAATACATCTGCATTTGGTAGATCTCATTTAAAAACAGAGCACGAAATGCTTATGAAACTTTGAAACATGTTTCTATGAATCATGATGCAGTATTGACTTACTCAGAAATCAAAGTCAACTGGGCGTGACGATGCTCACCTTTAATCCTAGTACCTAGTAGTCTGAGGTAGGTGGATTTCTGTGAGTTAGAGGCCAGCCTGCTATATAGTGAGTTCCAGGCCAGCCAGGGTTAGTGAGAACCTGTCTGAAAATATTAATAATAATAATTTTAATTTTCAGTATTTTCAACAGTCTGGTGCACACTGTGTTCCTTCTTAGATCAGAGCCTGCCTTTCACATTTCATTGTGTATGTTCAGAGCTGACCATACCAAATATGGACACATCTTAACAGATTCTTCCTATAGCCTTAGGTGAAAGCAAGCAAATTTACAATTTAACCCTATCATGCCATCAGTATTTTTCAACACATCTCTGGCAAGTTGACCCACTGAGAGCACCTAACAAACAAATCATTCTTTATCAGGAAGAATCCATGGAAGCAGTATATTAAATGTTTATGCACAGCATGTGTACACCGAAAAGGAAGCACTAAAATTTTTGTTCAAGGAAAAGTGCAGTTTTAAATTGTTTTTCCCTATATATGTGTGTGTAAATATCATTATCAGCACACACAAAATAGTGCCTACAGATTCCTGAACATGTTACAGAGCGAATAAAAATTAATTTCGGCAGGACTTTGACTTGAGCACACATGCATTGTCCAGCTCTAACATTGGAATGATCTGTTTCTTTTCTTTCTTTCTTTTTTTTTTTCTGGTTCTAATATGTCCTTGTCCATTTGTAATGGGGTGTGTTGTACTTTTGGATGATACAATAAGAATTAATGTTTTTGAGCAGAATCTTACCAAGAATGAGTGATTTAAAATTTATATGAAGGCATAAACATTTCAGTGAAACTGAACTCCATCTCTGAGGTTATTCTGTGACAAACAAAATTCAACTATATGATTTAAATTCTAATCAGAGCCTTTAATATAATTAAGCCTTGTTTTCTGTTTCCTTTTATATAACGTAGGTTTGAGAAGTGAACTCTGTGTTCGCTACTCAGTTTGGTCTTTTTATTGTAATCTAATTTTGACAAGTGGTTGTCTTCCCCTTTTTTATGCCTTCATTTATTTATTTTTGGCAGCTATTTAAAATGATAACCAATTTGCTTTCCTACTTTAGGGCTACCAGAGACCAAGCCACTACATTGCCACTCAAGGTAAAACTTTGTCTGTTAAATACTGTATTTATAATTATTTATATTGAATATTATATTCATCTTTATTATTATCCAGTAGGGAATTTTATTTTGTAATTTGATCTTTTGAAAAAATTTGGCTCTTCCTAAATTGTGTAGTATAAATACTTGTTCATAACTTAGAAAAACTTGATTTTGATTCTTTTCTAAATTAAAATCCTCTGATTATTTCTGTGATCTGATCTTTGGTGGTCAGATGTCTCAACACACTAGTCAGTAGTACTGGGAAGAGGAACTACTTACTTTTGATAAATAGGGAGTGTGTTGTTCTCTCTGCCTTGGGTGACTGGCATCTTGCAGTCAATTCTGTCAGTCTGCAAAGCAGTAAGACACAGACCAATAATTATGATGTCATCTGGCAATTTTTGACAAATCAAGACTGAATAAAACATAGACCCAAGGGACTGTAGTAAAGTGTGTTCCTTATGGAACATAAAAATGAAGTAGGTCGATCGTCTCATGGTGCTCTAGGAAACGAAAAGTATCGAAACAAGTATACAAGTCTGTAATCTCCTCAACATGTCTTCCAAAGAAGACCGAGCATGACCAAAGACATGTTTACTCATTTACTGGGGTTTTGTTGTGTTTAGCTTTGCTTTGCTCATCTCTTCCTTCAGTGATGAATGCATAGCCCAGGGCCTTGTGCCTGCCAGGCCAATGCTACCAGGGACTTAAATTTATTTCCTGGCATTTGCTCTTTTAGCTGAGGTCATTTTGTCCAGATTTTCCCCTTTGTTTTTGTGTCATTGGGTTTAATTGAATAAGTATTCTTCCCAGTTAGAGATATGCACTATTGTGCTGACCCCGACACCAGTTTTGTGGTTCTGAGTGAATGACAGAGCAGCACATGCCTTTGAAGGTAGATCACCATGTAGAATAATAGCAATCGTAATAATAGGAGGTAAGGATATGGCATCTAATTTCACTCATGCACTCTTCATAAATGATGGACGATTATTTAATTTAGCAATATCAGCTGCTCCTCTGCCAAGCGTCCAGAGAGTTCTGTATCCACATACATGCACATGTACAGTGGAGTGCCAAAGAAAGGGACAGAAATAACACGTTAGAAAGTAGTGGTTCCGTCTTATGGATTGCTAAGTGTAGAAGAAACCTGAAGAGAAGAGTGGACATGCCTACCATGTTTTGTGTAGTGTATGTTCTGGTAGGAATGGAAATTAAGTGGTTCTGGTTCTACTCTGAATTAGAGTCTTATCTCTTTTAGCTCTTCTCACATACCTTTTGCGTTATCTAAACTTTTTATTAACTATGTTTTTGATAACACAATACGGAAAAACTGTGTTCATAGGCCCAGTTCATGAGACCGTCTATGACTTCTGGAGGATGGTGTGGCAAGAACAGTCTGCCTGTATTGTCATGGTGACTAATTTAGTGGAGGTTGGCCGGGTAAGAGAAAACTATGTTAATTTTTTCTTTTTGATACTTTTATGGGTATTCTTGGAAAGCAATAATCAACTCACTTAGAGAATACTATCCAGTAGTTTAAGAATACGTCACATGACAGTCCACACCAGTCTGAAGGACAGGTTGGTGGCAACTCCAGTTGCCATCAGATAACCTTTGTCCAGTAACTATGGAAACAGGTGTGGAGACCCACACACAGCCAAGCATTTGGTCACGCTTGAAGGACATCACCCGGGAACCCACAGAAGCAGCAACCTGGGCTCATAAGAAGCTTACAGAGTCTAGACCAACAGCCAAGAATCGTACATAGATCAGACCTAGGCACTCTATACATGGACAGTTGTATAGCTTGGTCTGTTTGTGGGAACCCTAGCTGTGGGAACCCTGTCCCTAATGCTTTGGCTGGCTTTTGGTAACCTATTTCTCATATTGGGTTGCCTTGCACAGACATACTACAAGGCAAGAAGTTTAGCCCTTCCTCCACTTGATATTCCATGCTTTGTTGACACCCATGGAAGGCCTGCCCTTTACTATACAGAAGCAGCAGAGGAATGGATTGGGGGAAGAGGGACCGAGGGGAGGGGGGATAAAGGAATGAGAGGGAAGAAGAGAGAGGAAACAGGTTTGGATGTAAAAGTAAATGAATAAATTTAAGTAATGAAAAAGAATATTTCATACTCAGAACATTTCAATTGAATGCTCCTAAGTGAATTTTCAATGAATGAAAAATATTTGGTGTCTCACTGGGTAATAAAATAACATTTAAAATTTTAAAGATAATTTTTGGAAACTTTATTTATGACCACTCCCCAGCCTTCTCCAACTCCTTCCTTACATCCTGCTCCCAAATTCACAGTCTCTTCTTTACATGTTTATACAGCCTACTTTGTCCATACAGCATTGCTCATATATGCCTATGAGTAGGGCTGGTTACTTGGGACTAGACCACTTATGAAGGAATGCCTGGAGGAAGTAATGCAAGCTTGAATTTTGTACTGAAATATAGCTTAGCTATTAGACTTAAAAGTCTTTGAAAGCGCACAGTCTGTTTATTGTGTGACGTGTTCTCAGCTGTGTTCGAATTGTGACCTAAATGCATCAGTGGAATGAAGTCATCTTGGCTACTGGGTATGTGTTCAGATAAATCTATACCTATGCATTCTTCTTATCGTTAGGTGAAATGCTATAAATATTGGCCTGATGATACCGAGGTTTATGGTGACTTCAAAGTGACCTGTGTAGAAATGGAACCCCTTGCTGAATACGTCGTTAGGACATTCACCTTGGAGAGGGTAAGCGTTAAAAAGCTTATATTGAAAATGTGACTACTGCAGTTTTTTTTTTTTAAAAAAAAAACACTACCAAGTTTTTGTTTTAATTACTAAGAAGTCCATCCACCCATCCATCCATTAGTTTACAAATTCATTTTGCTTTGTTTTGTTTGGAGGGGGTGTTGTTGTTTGGGGTTTTATCGTTGTTGCTGCTGATGTTTTAGCTTTCCTCGTGGCAGTGTCTCGTTACATAGCTCTGCATATCCTGGAACTCACTACGTAGACCAGGCTGGCCTCAAACTCACAGAGATTTGCCTGCCTCTGCCTTTCAAGTGCTAAGATTAAAGGCATATGCCACTAAACTCAGCAAGCTACAAATTCTATTTTGAGAGCTGAGCCTTGGGACATATATTAAAATCCCAACTCGTGAGTCCTCACCTGAAGGGGGACAGACAAAAACTGTAAACAAGAGATTATGTTATATAGCTGCAGAGCTCTGTGATAAAGTAGCCTTTGGGAATTGAAATAAGAAATATTACTGAGGTAGAAGAGAAAACACTTGACAAATATAAAGGGGTTATGGGGAAGAAAACATTTAAAATGGCATGGGGCCTGATGGAACGGAGGGTCCGAGATTATGTCAGGGGAAGGTATTCCTGCAAGAACTGAGTCACGCCTTAGCCCTAAGCCTTAGTTTTTTCCTGTTCTGGGAAGTGACTCATGCAGAAGATGTCAGAGATAGGTAATTAATGGTAAAGGAAGTATTCAAGACAAGAATCACGCAGCCAGATGTCCAGGTCTAGTCGGCACCCATGTGATTTTAGCGTGTGAGTTAGGTGGCCATTGGAGGGCTTTGAAGGTGAGAATACCTCATCAATGTTTAGTTTTATTTTCATTAATTGAAGTTTTCCTTGATATTGTCACAGTCTAAAATGCATTCTAATTATTCCTACCTCCTACCCCTGTCAGTTCTCTCTCCTTTTCCTTTACTCATAAATTTTACTCGTGTTGTGACCGGCTGCATTTAAAGTGACGTACTAAAGAAGTGAGAGACGGAGAGCGCTTTGAAAAGCCAGGCATAGGCCGAGAGCCATGGACACTGCAGAAGTGCTTAACAGATAGTAGAACACACAAACATGTAAACAAAGGGGCATGCAAGTCTACGGATATCAGTAAGATCAATTTGTAGTGTTAATGCAAATGAGACACTGGAATCTCCGAAGACAGGCAGCTACAAAACTGCCTATGGAGAATGCTCAATGAATATGGATATACTGTTTTGTACTTTCAAATGAGCAAGAAATTTTACAAAGAATAATAATCCTCATTGATTGTGTGTGATCACTTAGATACTGCATTCATTAGTGATCAGAGTTCAAATACTTTGGGTCTCTACAAATCAGTATAACAGTTTGTCTGTAGAATTTCTTAAACATCTAGGTTTTTAAATCGTTTACCTATCTTAAGTCTATCCTTAGGAATGTATTTATATGTAATGCTTTGCTGGCGAATTAGGTCAGCATGATAAATAACCAGACAAGCTCAAGAACAACAGTTGTATTTTGATAGTTGAACAGGGGAAACTCATGCTACAAGAGTGGGAGGTCCGAAATCCTATCAGTCCAGCGAGCACCGCGCAGAGAGAGTGGCGCACCTGGATCTCCCAGTATTTCTACTTGGGTCTCAGGTTGCCACACCCTAATTAAATGTGATTGGTTGATAGTTTCCCCTTCATCTCCCCCTTTTGTCTAAACAAGATTGAGCCAAACCCAATACAACTATATACAGAAGGAATAGATACCAAATATAAAATTACAAGCAATAAACAATATTAAGCAAGAAACGCATAACAAAAGTTTTACTAAGCATTCTATTTCAAGGAGTCTAAATATTGCATTGAAATTAAGCTTGGCTAAATCATGAGGAAGGTAGCTACAATTACCTACTCTTCAACTCCATCAAATATCTGAGAAGGGAAACAATATTACTTGAGTGAACAGGAAGTACAATCGAGAAACTTCCAAAATGTGCAACAAATGACAGAGACAACTGGCTACCTGGGCAATCACCCAAAGTCTCACTTGCAGTGTTGAAGCAACCAACTTTGGCTAAGGCCTAACGTAACTGACATACCATTTTTAAAGGCAAGAAACTTTTAAAACTATCTTATCCTGTCTTGGCAGGATATGACAGTCCTGTTTTATCCACTTACAGATACTCTGTATCTCTGTCAGTGATTGAGGTATGTGCATTTCTTTACCCAAAGGCCAGTTCTGCCAAGAAGAAAGGCTCCAGGTGGAGTGTCTTTGGTGCTCAACATTGTCTCGGGAATAGATCGGTGTTGCCAGGAGCGATTGTGTCTCCCTACCACGGAACTCTGAGTTAGATTAAAAGCCATTTTTTTACAGCTCTTTGAAGAGGTTGAAGATTATCTATCTATACTGAATATAATCTCTATGTATCTAAAGAACCTGATTAGTCTAATTATAAATATGACAAACACAGATGACTATTGATCTATATACTTCTCAATACCTATCTAACTTAAAGACAAAGACAATAAACAACTGTGCAATAAATGAGGACAAAGACCTTCAAATGTGTAAGTATCTTGACCA